GTAGGGTTGGTTTAGTTCTAAGAAAACTAGTTAAGGATCAGTTTTTTTAGCCAGTTATATATTCTTCAGTTTCAGTCTTTTAACAAATTCAGACCAGTTAATGATAAACTATTAAAATAAACTTATAAACTATTAAAATAAGATTGAAACTAGAGGTGTGACAACTTAGTGAAGTTGGGAAGTTGTCACACTCTCAAGCAGCAGAACAAGAGTTTGAATTCCACTGGTGATGAAATTCGAATTTATGGAATGCATTAGGAAGACTGTATCCTGTTGGATTTTAGAATCTGTAATGAAATCGCACCAGCTTGTACTGGGAGATAGTAGAATATTTAGTGTAATGTATGAGTTACACAAAACCCGAGTGAAGCTACCGAATAAATCTAACAGATTGACAGGATACGGAAGCCTGTTTGGCAAGTCCTAAGTAGAGAAGTAGTACAGATCTTTGATGGTACTATGTAAAGGATTATCATCCAGAAGTAACAAGAACCGAACAGGACTGAAGTATTAGCAAAACACTTCACCAACCAGGCCGCCAGAGGAAACTGAAGGAAAAGGACCTAACTGTGAGAACTAGAGGCAGGTCACAGCCCTTCTGAGCCATCTGGATTGAAAGTTCGGGTGCTGAGAATACAAGTGATAGTCCGTAAAGTGGGGTACTAGGGTTTGAGCGAACTTTGCAAGAGCAAGAAGTAGATAATAATAGCAGCTTTAGCTCGCAAGTACTTGGTCTCGGTCTAGGCGTAAGTTACCAAAAAACTAGGTAATACATGTGTGGGATATGGACTGCTCTAGTAGATTTACCACAAGATCAAAGGACCCTCTATATAGAAGTGTATGTTCGCTTTAAAGACTTAGCAGGCCTTAGCAGCAGGTTCTTCTTTAGGGAAGATATCCGATGGCGTGAAGTTGATCAGAGAGTTTAAATGGGTAATCTCATAGTTGGGTTACAGGTACAGTATCTAGTATAGATCTAGGATAGACAGACTACTTAAATAGATGCTCAAAAGACGCAGATATGGCTAGAATGTATTTTTATTAATGTAATAAGATCAGACACTATCTATGTAACTATGCTAGTATCAAACCAAAAGTTTAATAAACCGTGCCAGACCTGTGAGTGATCACCTTAACATTTAAAAAAAAAAAAAAACAATAGAGGGTGCACTGAGTATATGGAGGCACTGTTTAAATTTTTTCTAAATTTAATTTATAAAATAAATACTAATAAAATTTTGATTATATTACAATATAGTATTGTAACTATTATTACTAAATAAAGCAACCAATCAATTTAAGACAAATTCGCAATAATTACAAATTTTGCTAATCTGTTTGATATAAATTTTGAAAATCACATTCGAAAATATTACCAAAATTACAAAATTTGACTATATGATTGAAAAACAACCAAAAAACAAAAAAATATTTATAGCTTAATAATTGACTTATAAACCAATTTTTTATGTTTTAACAAAAAATTATTTGCAAAGTTTTGATATAAATTATACTCTATTTGTACTCAAATTTAATCTAACTATAAAGTTTTTTTTTAAAATAAGGTTATGCTTTATGTCTTTATTAATATATATGCTTGTATATAATTTTATTCAAATTATAGTATATATTTAATATTATAACTACAGTAGGGCAATTTTGGAGTTCTGAGACACTTTTTTGTTACCCTGGGTAATAAATTAGTCTTCTTACCTTTTTCACGTCTCTGTAAACCTATTTTCTATATCAACCCTTTAGTACCTATATAAAAACCTGGGTAACAAAAATTATATAGCTAGAACTCACTATTTTTATATTTTATAATCAAATTCGATGACGACAAAAAAAGAAATTTCTCGTCACTCATATATATCAAGAAAAATAGATATCCCCACACTTAATATCATATACACTTACCTATATATAAATCAAGGTACTAAAAATTAAGTATCTATTTTCCTTTTATAATACTTTTGATAATGTCTACTAACATAATAGCTTCTAATATGGTTAGGACATCTACCGCTTTTAGACCGAGTAGGTTTACCACAATCAGTACAAGGAAAGCGTTTGATTGCATTTTTATGAAGCCAGCACCCTTTAGGATTTATACATGATCGACCGCATATCTCTCTAGTATATAAAAGAAAATCACATATATATTCGCCTAATTGCATTTTTTTATATATGCCTACTACATATTAATTTTCAAATTGAACAAAAATATTTTATAAGTAACAGATAAGGAATTACGTACCAGCACACATATACAAATTTATACTATTATTTTCTATGGTACAATACACATGTCCAAGATGTGGATGGGATTTTCCTAAATTAGCAAGACTTCGTATACATCTAGAATGAAAAAATCTATGTAGAATTAAACCTAAAAGGGAATCAGAAATACCCAATCTTGAGATATTACCTCTTCCAACTCAAACCTATGTTCCGGTAGGTGATTTAATCCAATTGGATGACACACCTTCTTCACCTATTCAAAGCTCAGACAATGTTTCTTCAAATCTTCTCCAAAATGATACAGAATAGTTTGATAATATGGAAGATAGATATAATGCAAGCACTAATGAAAAATGGCACGAATTAGCTGGAACCTTGCTCTATGACTATCCAAAAAGAAATATCATAACTGTAGAAGGCAATTTTGGTGGTAAACCAGTAAGAAAAAATTATAAATTAACGAACAAAGAGTTAATATTTGAAGAATGCGAATCTAATTCTGATCTATTAAGACCCCATCAAAACTTAACAGCAATGAGTTTATGGCAGGCAGTTATTCCATCTACTGATAATATAAAATATAGATTCAATCATTATGTTGAGAACCGT